TTATCAACAGTTTAAACGCCTACAAGCGTTTGTTTCAGGCCATCCAGTCTCAGTATGGTTATAAGAACTCATTAAAAAGATATTAACAATACGTTAGTGTATAATCAACTAAACGTAAGTACATCTTCAAAGTACTAGTTTACAAAATACAAGCTACAGTAGTATATTACATTTTTCAATAACAGCTGGTGGAACCAGGCACACTCTCAGTTACAAGTTTTACAAATACAGAACATTGGTTTACAAATGGAACGATTTTATGGGAATAAAACGACTTTTCATATACAGCAGAAAATATAGGATTTTCTGGAACAGTTTACATATTCGAGATACCGAAACATCCTTTTAAACATAAATACATATGCACTCACTCAACTTTATGTTGATACTCTCTTTTCAAATTACTTGTATTCTCAGGGAAACAATAAACAGGTACTCCCCGAGCTTTTTGAGAAGATGGAGCTAATTTGAGTCATATCTTCTTCTTTTGTATAACTATTTTGGGTTCAATATACAATGATTGAACATATGTAAATACTTATACTTTCTAAATACAATGGTTGTTTGTACTTTGATTACTATGATGCATGTGTTGTGATACTACAAATGAAGTCCTCCACCCCCGGACGTTTCCGCCGTCTGGTTTGGGGGTGTGACACTATCGTTACAAAATAATCACCCAATCAATACTTGGGTTCCAATTAATATCCAATAATCAATTCTTGGGTAAAAATGACCATTTTACCCCTGGCCTAATTTGATCCATGATTAAGGCCCAAATCCACCATATAAAAGTCCCAACACTAAATAATCTTCCAAGGCCCACTAACGGCCCACTTATGGCCCAATTTTCAAAATTGGGCCCAAACCCCTCAAATGGGCCTTACCCTAAAGCCCAATCATATCCATAGACCAAAAACCTGATTTCAGATGGCCCACAAAAGCCCAAAGCAACAAGGTCCAAGAAAATGGCCCAACTCGAGGCCCAAACAACGCCAAGCCCAACTGTCAGAGTACGCGGGGCGTACTCGGCTGTACGCTAAGCGTACACGCTGCATGGCTTGTACGCCCAGCGTACTCACCCATTAAGCCTTTTCTCCATTAAGTCCTTAACCACTTACGTCCAGGAGTCCCAAACACAAATCTGAATCTTATATAACATATTAACCCATAAAGTCGAAATCTTGGTGGCTTTGCATGCCCCAAATGGGCTCAAACTCGAAATATGACAATCTACTTCGATGAAAATGGCCATTACTCATGCATGGTTGGATTAAACCTTCCAAGGTTGCAACTTTATGACTCTAGGACCCAAAGAACACCAAAAGTAGCAACTCTGAGCTTCAGAAATGGAAGTAATCCACAAGAGCTCATCTATGGGACCAAAAAGGGTCCAAAAGCTAAAACATGGAGATCTAAGCTTCTAAAGATCAAGATCAAGACTTTATACCTTGCTCAAGCTAGAAATGAAGCAGAAAATTCGGATCTACAAGCTTCTCATTGAACCACCACCTTGCTCCAATCTTCTCTTCCTTGAAAATGAGACAAAACACACCAAAATGCACTCAAAAGACCCTTCAAGCTCAAGAACACTCAACAATGGGGTTAGGGTTTCGTGGAGGCTGTTTAAGGATAAGAGGGAGGCTGGTAAAGAAGATCCTTAGGTCATCATGTTCTTTAAATAATGCTCAAACCCTAAATATTAGGGTTTTAGGAACTGACCACGTACGTTGCGTATGTATATGGCACCCGCATTCATTCCTCACCAGTACGCCCACCGTACATAGGGTGGTACGCCCTGCGTACTGCACCCCTAAGCCCAATAAGAAAGGATCTGATTGATCACGGCCCAAAACATAACAACTAATTAATCCAAATCATTGTTAATACCTTGAAAATTATCGGGCGTTACAGGTTCAAAGGCTTCAAAAGTTATCATTCTAAACACTCTTTGGTTGTGTTTTTTATTTCATTCTAACATCGATAAATAGATCCATCATGGTTTGGTTTTGTTATTAACTAAAAATAAACTTTTTATTTTTAAAGAAGTAAATTACATGAATGGTCCCTATGGTTTGGGATAATTTGCGTGTTTGGTCCCTAACTTATTTTTTTAACTTGGAAGGTCCCTAATGTTTGTTTTTGTTACGCGCTTGGTCCATACTGTTTGTTTTTGTTACGCGTTTGGTCCCTGTCTTACCTAAAAAGACTATTATTTAAATATGAAAAATTGTTAGGGTAGGTAAGGTAAACTGAGGGGTGGGGTTGAGGTGTGCTTATTTAAATAAATTAAAAAATCAAGGGCAAAATAGTCTTTTTAGGTAAGACAAGGACCAAACGTGTAACAAAAACAAATAGTAGAGACCTTCCGAGTTAAAAAAAAATAAGTTAGAGACCAAGCACGTAAATTACCCTAAACCATAGAGACCATTCGTGTAATTTACTCTTTTTTAAAGTCTTCCATTACCGGTTTTTTTGTGAAAAACGAACTTATATTTTGTATAAAACCCATCATAAAACCGAATGATAACTGATATTATGAGTTATGACTAAGAGTTATGACTAAGAGTTATGACTAAGTCTTCCATTATCCATTTGTTTGATGCCGTTTCGTGAATGGACATGGAAGAAAACATTTAAGGGAGAGAGGCGGGTTGTTGATTCCCAAAAAGCCAAGTGCTATGTATGTTCTGCACCACGCAACTAGAAATGGTCAGAAATGTTTTTTTTTTAACAAATATCATTATATCAAAATATAAACTATAACCTAATATTTAATATTATAAATTAGTATATCTTTTTCGCTTTTTTATTTGATATAAATATAATAATAATTAATAAATTTGTAAAATGCATATATATTATTATGTTAATTGTAATTAAGATTTATATTTTAAAAAATATAAATTTATTGTTGATGTCTCAATAGGTTCATTGATCTGAATGGTAATTACAAAGACGATGTGTAATTTTTAAAAGCTGATGTTTCAATGTGGATGGTCTAATGTTAATCACAACTAAATCAGAGACACACACACATAATTAAAACCATCTCTTTACGTAGTAGTTTTAGACAAGGGAAAATGACTTATAAGGGTAAGAATGTTTAAAAAACGTTCAAAAAACACCATCAAACTTTTGTCTGTTCAAAAAAGACCATCAAACTAAAGGCTTTGTATAAAAAACACCAACTAAGTATATCTTTTGTTCAAATCTCACCAATCGGTAACCGTTTGTTGGAGATTAAATGCTGATGTGGCCTAATACTTGGTGACATGGCATAAATGTGAGTGACATGACATAAGGGTGGGTGGTGACATGGCTGAATTGGCGTACTCCTCTTGACTAAATGGAATTAGGGCTTCATTTATGAACAAATTCTTCTTTTCGACTCCATCATTCTTCCTCTCGTCTCCTTTGATGGCTTGGTATGTTTAACTAAGCTTTATCATTCGGCCCTTCTTAATTGATCGACTTCTTCAACGCCTCTCCATGTAAATCGTTCAACCCCAGCTCAAGCTCAAAAATTTCCAAGACAAAAAGCACAATTGATCGACTTGTTTTTCTCATGCTACCCTTCATCAACTGTTCGACTTGTTTTTCTCATTCTGCTCAATTTCACAACATATATCAGCCTTACCTACAAAATATGACATGATGAGTCAGAATCAGAATTCAATTTAGAAAAACCGGACAAAAGGGTCACAAGGGTGTAATTGTCAATTTTACAATATGCAATTACTTTGTTATTGTTGATATACACGTAGATTTAGCAGAAAAATGGGACAAAATCGTCAAAAGGGCATAATTGCCAAATTAGATTACATGGATTGTTTCGACAATGTCACATGGATTATTATGACGAGAAAATGGCATAATTTGTTTTATAAATGTAAAGTTCCTGCTGTAGGATTAATTAGTTTATAACTATAAAGTAACTGCTATGATGTATTTTAAATAAAAGGACAAAGCTATAAAGTACATTGCTTTAACTGTAATGTACATTGCCTTAACATTTAGGGGTAAAATGGTCACACAGTGGAGAAAATGGTACAATTGAATTACATTTCTGTGACAAAATAGGACAAAAGGGCATAATTGTCATTTTTTTATATTAAGTTATTGTACTATGAACAATATATATTTAATTATTAGCATTATACTCTCGAAATCTCAAATTACATTGCACAATATATTCAATTATAGCTTTTTACCCGTCATGTTTCTTCCTGTACATAAAGTAAGAAGCTGTTTAGCAACAGCAACAACCATATTCTTGGCAGCACCATTATTGAGCTTAATAAGGTGCATGACAAAAGGGCATAATTGTCAAAAGGGCATAATTATACTCTGAACTCAAAACTTTTTATAAAGGGACCTCATAAAACTTTAATTTTTTCATTCAGAACTTTATATTAAGCCATTCAGAACTTATACAGGCATCTCAAAAACCATAGACCTCTACTTTCAAACATTTGACAATGTGAAAAGTAATATACAAGAAATAGAATTCTATTTTAATTTATTGCATCGAACCTCTCAAATCAATACAGGGACAATCGTAAGTAATACTGGGAAGTAACAACAGGGGCAATTTGGTCATAATGGCAACAGAACCCACAAACAGGGGAAATTTGGTCATAAATGCAACATAAATCGATCGGTTGTAAAAATTGATTTCACTAGAGGATGGTTGATTAATCGAACCCTAGACGGCTTTGGCGCTTCTGTGCTTCCCTCCATCCAATCAAGTCAAAAGACGATTGATTTGTATCTTTTAATCCACGTAAGACGTTCCTAATGCCATGTCATCTTTTATTTTCCGTTAATTAATTTTTTGCAGGTAACATTTTCACCTTCGGTCACCAGTAGGTGATATTTGAACAAAACTTAAACTTTGATGGTATTTTTCGTATATAACCCTTACTAGATGGTGTTTTTTGAAAAGATCGAATTTGAATGAGCCCTTTAAGTCATTTTCCCTTTAGACAAAGACGGGCGGCTGGATCAGCTCGGCTTCACTTGCTTTCCTTCTTTCCCTTCTCTCGTTTTCTTCATCTTTCTCTGCACCATCATATACATACACACATATGACATGTTATGTATGCATCATGGACCGCCATCGCCTCGGCCACATACTCATCTCTATCTTCTTCCCCGTACGGCTACCCACTGTAACGAATAGTATCCTGCGGCTCTGATTTCTTGTCGTGTCTTCCTATAGATCACATCATCTTCCACCTTATAATTCGTAGTCATCTGCTAAATTCTCTCTGTAAATCTTCCAACTCGTCGATGTCACAAGTAAGTTTGATTTTAAATTTCGACACTCTGTAGGCATATCTGAGACCTAAAATGACAATTTGTATGCTCATAGGTTTTTTGTAGATACTGTAAGATTTCAAATGTTTTCTTGACTTTTTGTGCGATCGTGTGTACCTGCAGCTTGTTTTGTTAGCTTTTTCCGTTTCAATTTTGTGCTTCTAGCTCTAGAGATCAAATAGATTTTTTGCAGAAAATTGAGAGGTTGAGGCGTTGACGCTTTGTAAAATTATAAATTGTTCTATGGAATGGTTGGAAGGAAGTTGCGATAGGGTTTAGTAGGGTGGAATTCGAATTTGGGAGTAGAGTCTGGATTTCAAATCCGAGCTATTACTTCTAACACTTGAAGGGATATGAAGAATTAAATTATGTAAAATTAAGAATAGTAAGAAGAGTGGTTTTTATGCAAAAACTAGGGCATCTATGAAGCCATGTTTAATTATTGGGTCCTAATCTATTGAGTCTATGTTCCTTTCTAGACCTTCATTTCTTCTGAAGTCGATCATAGTTTCAGAAGCTGGTGTTAACTCTTTTCTTCTTTTGAATGTTTCCATCCTAGGTAGATGAAGGTCTGAAGTGTGCAACTTGAAGGTGAATTGGTGGTATATTTATAGCAAGCTGTAAGTTCCAATCATCATGCCTGAGAAATCTCATCCCAACAACAACGGAAAAGCTGTAGAGTCCATAGAACCTCACCAATCTGCATGGCTCACACATTGGACAGGAACAAGATTTGAATCAAGCACACATGTTCCTTCAACTCGCCTTATTCAAAACGAAGAAGATGATCTTGATATGAAGAAACACTCGAAGGGAGTTGAAATAGCATCTGATAGCTGTGGATCTTCAAAAGGGATCAACGACTTGGAGTTAGCAATGAGTTTAAAGAAACCAGGTACTCAATCTTTCCCATTTTTCAAACGTGGTCAAGAAAGTGGGAGAAGTTTCTTATTGAACGAAGGAGGTCAAGCTCAAGCATTAGGACCTCAAGTTTCTCACAAGAAATCAACAGCTGCTTTGAATATAGGATCTTCATCAAGAGAATGCCATTTTCAACCTGAAGAAGCATCACAAATTCCTTCTGAACAGGTGAAGTATCACATGTTTTTTGGTGAAAGCCGAACAACCCATGGACCAGAAAACATCAGCCAGCTTAAAACCATTTTCACATCCAAAAACCACTTACCAAAAACTAATTCAGTAGCCATGGAACAAGAACACAAGATGCCATCTTTTTTAAGACAAGATAATGTTGCCCTTTTGAAGACTGACCCTTCTACAAGCAGCAATTCTGCACCTTCTTTAATTGCAGAACAATACAAAAGGATGCACAAACATATTGGAATGGGATTCTTTCCACATCAAAGTTGTCCAGAAGTGATCAAACCAGGGACAATGCAGTCATTTCAAAATGTTTCTCATTTAGAGGGTCTTCACAGTTTTTCCAGGACAACTCACAGTGTGTTAATCACAAAACAGACTGATGTTAAAGTGTATCAAGAAAAGCAGATCTTTAGGGAGTCCATGGTATCTACTCGGCTTAAAGAAGAAGCTGTAAGGGAGGTCAACCGCAGCCCTGCATATTTTGCTGATAGTCAACGAGGGGTAAAGCTTCAACTTTTGGAGTCTTCAGATCAAGAATCACAGGAAAAGATTGAAGATGTAAAAGGTGCTGGAGATGTTCAAAAAAATGAGTCATCAGCTGATACTGACACCATGGATATGGAATCTTTCAAGGAGAATCATCTTTCTGGTAATCTTTTTTGAACCACATCCTTTATCCCATTGATAGGATTCTTTTTCAATATCCTTTGATGTGACATTTTTATTTCAATTTCTGACATCAGTAGTTAACTTACATTTTCTTATCTTTTATTACAGGTGTACATTTCTCCCCACTAAACAAGGTCCATTACTGTACCTTAAACCCTTTTTGGTTTCTTTTTCTTGATTTTTCTCTGATATTTAGGTGTCCAACTGGGAATAGATTAATTTTAGGTAAAATATATACTTCCATAGTAGCAATTAATTGGTAAAACGGTGAAACATTATGATAGACCCTGATACATTCTTGATTTGATACTCAGACTAGGATAGAGTTAAAGATAGATTTCCATTCATTCGAGAGGAATGGTCTCTCCAAAAGAAGAACAGAGTTCTCTTACAGATTAATTCTTAGCTACTCAAAACAAAAACCTACAGGGGGATAAATACTAGCAAGACTCGGGGAAGTGGTCCCAAAAACAGACCCGGGACAAGGTTAGAGCTCCCACATAGCCAATAACAGATAAAATCCCAAAAAGGACCAAACTACCCCTGAAACTTCTAATAAAGCAAATCTACTAAAACCAATCAAGGCTAAGTTGGGGCTTATCACATTATTGCATAAATTGGTAAGTGAGTGATAGGTTATAGCATAAATTGGTGAAGAAGTGAAATAATGTTTGCATACATTGGTAAAAAAAAGTGAAATCTTGTACCATAAATTGGTTAAAAAGCGAAACATTGTAGCTTAAATTGTTGAAAAAGTGACATTGGTGCATAAGATGGTAAAAAAGTGAAACTCTATATCACACATTGGTTAAAAAAACTGAAACATTATAATATAAATTCGGTAAAAAATTGAAACATTGTTTCATAATTTGGTAAAAAAAAGTGAACATTGTAAAAGCATAAATCGACAAAAAGTGAAACATTATTGCATCAATGGGTAAAAAGTGAAACATTTTAGTATAGTTTGATAGAGAAAGGAAACATTGTAAGCATATATTGGTAAAAGAGTGAAACATTTTGCATAGATTGGTAAAAAAGTGAAATATTGTAAGTGTGAAATTGTGAAAAAGTGAAACATTATTGCATAAACTGGTGAAAAACTCGAAGATTGTTTGTATAAATTGGTAAAAAAAAGTGAAGCATTGTAGAATAAATTGGTAAAAGAAGTGAAACATTGTATAGCATAAATTGGTAAAAAAAAAAAAAAAAAAAAAAAAAAAAAAAAAAAAAAAACTTGAACATTGTTACATTACATCTATAAGCATCTATAAAAAATCTGAAACATTATTGCATAATTAGTAAAAAGATAAATCATTGTTGCATAAATAGTCATTTATAAAATCAAAACATTTTATTCTTGGTTACAATGTCGCATAAATCCACATATTATCTTCATAAACATATATGTGAAAAAGTTCCCAACATTGAACTCATTCCTTTTTTTTTTGTAACATTTCAGGTGATCACAATGGAGTCAAATATTCCCATTTTACCCTTGTCAAAACCAAAAGACACACACAGAAAACGTAAAATGGAACTCCCGGATATTAACCTAGAAATTTCCTCTCTCCCAGCTTCATCAAGCTCAACCGAAAAAGAAAAAAGTGAGCCATGCACCTCAAGAACACAAAGCCTAGACATCAACCTTGGCCAGACAACTAACTCAAACTCAAACTCATGTTCAAACAACACTAACCATGGTTCAGAAGCAGGTAGCCGTTGGATCAAACGCCTAAAGCTGACCGGGTCAGGTGGGTCAGGTTTGCTTCGAAAAACCACACCCCAAAACAAGCTTTTTACAAAAGTAAACGTGGGCCCACCATCAGAAACTGTGATAGGTGAATCTAGTGATCGTCATAATAATAATTGTAATAATAATAATAATAATAAAGAGGTGATTACACTTTCGAATGCTTGGATTCAAAGATGGAGTAGTAATCAGGGGCAAAAGAGTCCGGTGGTGGAAAGAATTGAAAAGGGAGACTGTAAAGTGGGGCCTCCCGAGGAATATGAGAAAAAGCAGTTTCCGAGTATTGCTGCGATGGCGTTGATGGGGAAGGCCATGAGTGGGTTTCAACAGTGTAAGTTTCAGAAAAGGGAATCGTTTATGGTTTGGAATACCAAAGGTTTTGAGTAAATCATCAATCCACGTATGGTGGAGGTTTCATAAAGTATGCAAGAAAACGGTAATTTAGCTCTCTTTTTGTTGGAGTCGGTTTGTATCTACTTGATAACTTGATTTTGGTTATGGTAATGTGGGTGTTTTTATGGAATTAGGGTTTTTTGTTTTTTTGATTTACGTAAGTGCAAGGAAGCATAATAAAGTTTGTAAAGAATGGTAAACCCCTAGTATAATTAAGTCTCACTACATAATTATGAGTTTATGCATAAGTGGTTTGGTGGTGAAATGTAGGAATATCAAAGAGGTTTTAGGTTTAAACCCGGATATTGTGATTTGTGTTTTCCTATTGTGGAGTCTTTTTGCAATGTAATTATTAGATTAAGTTGTAGAAATTGTCCATGCAAGTTGGTGAAATTTACACGTTTTGTTGATCTTTGATTTATTTGTATGGACAACACTCTTGGTTTCATTTTATTGGGAATTTGGTATTTGGATTGTTAATCTAACAATACTAAATTACAAAAATAGTCTCTGAATTTTAGTTCAACTTTGCATGTCATTACATGGCCAATCAACTTGGTTACATTTTGTTATAGATTTAATCATTCTGAATAACACCGTTAAAATTAGGGTATTAAGTACATATGAATCACCAATGTTTTATTTTATAATTAATTTAATATTTTTTTAACACTTTGTTTTGTTATTAAATATCACTTAAATTCGTTAATGGTCTCTAATTTACACTTTTAAGGTTACAAACGTCTAACCCCAAATCATGAGGTTACTAACAGTCTCCTTTGTTAATAAATCATTTATTTTCTTGGTCAATCATAGAAGCCTGTCACCAACATTCCCTTCGTTGTCGCTTTCTTCATTCGCCTATGTCAAGAAAAGAGAGATTGAAAGGGACAAAATGAGCAAGATATTATTTTCTAATTCTCATCGTACAGTGTGTAATCAACACTCATGTTTTATTTTATAATTAACTAGGTTATAACCCGTGAAAACCACAGTTAATATTTATAATTATTATATAGACAAAAAAATAAAATAAAATATCAACAAAAAAAATACAGCATAACTTTGATTGTAAGAAAATATGAAATATTATGTAAAAGTAAAAAAATAAACATAACAGTTTAATCTGCAAAATTGTAGTATTTAATTAAAAATAAAAGTAAAATATAACTATGTTGTGTTAATGAATCATTATTATTATAATAAATGTGTAAGTATATGTAATATAATATCATGTTAATGAAATTTTGTTAATATCATGCTAAATTCAAAAAACTTATAGAACTATGGTAAATGTTATTCTAAACTGACAATAAACATATATCCTAAACAAAGATCCCAACTATTTCCCGACCATGACTATTTTGCAAATAAACAGACAATTTAGTTTTTCATTATATCACAAACAATTTTCTAGAAATCTTTCTAACATGCACCATCCATGGAACAACTATTAACAAATACTTGAAAAGAATAGTTCATTATAAGAATGGTAAACAAAGCAATTAACCGTGAGTTTAGTTTTAATGAGAAATCATCATAAAGGGAAACCGTTGAGCCAAGGTTTAAGAGACAATGTAAGTACCTTGGTATTATTGGTAAAAAAAAATATGTAAGTACCTTGTTATTATTGGGAAAGAGTAAAGTAAATTGCTTACGATAATAGAAATAATAAAGTAAATTGCTATTTCCTGTATTTTTCTCATATTATAAACTTGTCATAAGGACAATTTTATATATTATAGGAATGCTAAATTAGGTCAATCACTTCATACTTTTATATAATAGTAATATATACACATTTCACTCATGTATCATAAAGGAAATAATCTTTCAGGTGAAACTATCCTTCGTATGGTAACATTATCTTTTGTTCCATTCAAGCAGTTAAAATAGTCCCATGTACTATCAGTGAACATTAAAATTATGGAAAAATGGTGAAGGCCGAATATCAAAGTCTTAACACATATTAATTGAAATGCATATACTTTTATATAGTAGTACTATTAATTTTGTTTAATTTTTGGTGCTCTAATGTAAAATAAACATATAACAAAGTTAGTGGAGTGTGACCTATATAAGATTCTCTAATACACGAGTCAGTAGGTCCCTTGACCTCAACCTTGTTTTCCTATTTCCATATGTTCTTTCATCACAGATAAGCACAACAATTCTATATGGGTTGTTTTCTAACATGGTATATATAATCATCAAAACTAATTTAAGTCTCAACATTATGACCGATTTTAGTTTAATATTCATTTAACCTAAATTCTTATTAAAACATATAAACTAAAAATGATCAATGAAAAGCATTAATATGTGTAGGTCATTGCTTTGATTTTTTCTGAATCATTTGATTGAAAAAAACAAAAATGATCAATGAAAATCTATATTATTAAGAAAATGTTGTAACAAATATGCAAATCATCAAAAGAAAAAACAAAAACCTTTCAGATTATTTTAGGAGGACGACTTGTACACTCTTATTCAAACATGACTTCAGAAAAACCATGATCATGTACACTTGGACACATCCGTAAATATATGAACACTTCGTCAATAAATTTTAGTACTTATGAAAATTCAGAAAGCTAAATTACAAAAAAATTGAAGCAGTCATCGTTGTTTTGTTTCAGAAACATACATACACAAAATTTTAGAAGAAAAATCTACCTGAGATTAGATTAGATTCATCATGAACACGAAACATGTGAAACTACATACAAACAAACGTTAAGGGATAAGGGATCTTTCTATTCAAGGGAAACAAATAGGGAATGTGGTCTTAAACCGTGGTTACTCCCCCTCTTCAATTATGTAAAGAGGATTCGGTCAAGGATTTCACCTTTAGCTTTAGATTGTGAGGGCTAGACTTTAAATCTAATTATAAGAAGTCGTATATGTCCCGACTTGCAGCCACCCTCCTCACCGATTTATATACACAAACATCATCTGGCCCTGAATAAATTGGGATCAATTCGGACTGAAAAGGGAAACCAAGAATCTTAAAAGATGAGAAAATAAGAATCGATTGCAGGTTCTGGTTCTAATAAACAATTTGCATAATGACCTTTTAAACACCAATTATAGATCCTCATAACCTAAAATCAAAGTAGAACACGACGGCGATATAGGAATCAAGATGAAAAGTGGTGGCCATAGTGACGGAATCACGTGGTTGTAGGAGTTTTAGGGTTAGAGAGAAAAGAGAGGGATATAGGTGATTGAAGGCAGTACAGGGAGGTGACGACAACGTTTTAAGGTTAGAGAGAGAAAGGGCTTAAAGAATGCTGACAGTAGTGATTACTGTTCAGTTGTAGTATGTTTGAGGTCTGTGGATGTTTATTGAAGTCGGTGTGGGCAAGTGACGGCTACGTGGTAGTGATACTTTTTGAAGCAGGTGAATCAAAAAGCTAAGATGCGAAGAGATACCCTGAAACAGAGGAAGAAACAAATAGTAGAGACGTGGAATATTGGTAATTCAAACTTCCAATTTTAAACCCTTTCCATTTACAGTGTAAATTAGCTGGAACAAAAATCACGACATAGATAATGTTGGTTTTAAAGTCTAGATTTTATCGGAACGAATTATAGACGAAGACTTGGGCAGAATATGCCATGTGGCAAAGTAGAGTTTTAGAAAACTGTCATGCGACATAATTGGGTTTTGTTTATCAGATTCTCAAGAAAAGAGAGATTGAAAGGAACAAGCCCTAATCGAACCATCACAAACCTTGAAATTTTGGGTGTGGATTGTAGCATTTGAGCAAAGCAATCGAAACATGAGGATGCCAACCTAGCACCATTGCAAACATCATATTATCCAGAAGAAGATGACCAATGAATGTAAGGGTGAGTTAAAATGGGGAAAAATGAAGGTATAATGGTCATTTTTCAAAGATTTAACACATTATAGGCTCATATATAATGGTGTAAGTTGGAAGGACCAAATTTGCATGAAATTAAAACCGCAAAGACTTTCCAAGCAAGATAATCTAAAATTGGATCAAACCTGCAAATTTACCAAAACGCATGGACCATTCTATAACTTACTCAAATTTTTAACATAACAAATCTGATTTTAAAACTTTATTACTAGTGAATACACTTTGTTGTATAAATATAAAATTTAACGACGTGATATGATATGACGGGAAAATAAAATTAGAAGCCAAACTGGAATACTGAAGGCGATACAACTATAAGTAGTCAAGTACCATGAATATTTCAAGTGCAGTGAATGATTGAGAATTAAGACAACTGGAGGGACAGAAAATGACAAGTTTATAAATTTAGCTGAAGTTTGTGAAACTTGAAAATCATATATAAAAATAAATTATTCCGTTGCCGGGACTTGAACCCGGGTCTTCCGGGTGAGAGCCGGATATCCTAACCAACTAGACTACAACGGAATTCTGTTTATAAATTTTTAAATTATTAAAAGAAGATACTAAATATGGGATAAAATTAAGAAGATTAAAATCTGTATATATAATTTTCCCTAAATTATGTTTTTCCGTCAAAGTTCTTAAAATTCATCTTTCTAGGTACAATAATGTGATTTTCAGGAATTTCAAAATTTTCTTGTGGTATCAATAAATGCAACTATTTGGTGTACTAAAAAAATGGAACTGTGTTCTGAATAATATCATAAACATCTTCAAATTACAAAGACTTTAGCCAACATCTTATGTGTAGATCTAGAATCTCTAAAATGACAACTAGATACGTTGCGGGGGTTGGAAGTTGTTGCTTTTGTGTGCAACTATAGTTAATTGCATTGGTCGGTGGTCACAGTAAAGTATGTTGTTATTCTCTGCAATTCGCCCATTTATGTAAGGACGTAATAAAATAGAAAAAAACTTTCCGGATTATGCCCGTGCTCTCAATAGATGTCATTTTCAACTTCATTCATTATTTTTATGTAACGACTCTTCGTTTTATTTGTTCTTCAAGGTAAGATTTAAGAAGTACTTCCAACTTCTCATTCC